ATGTAAATAAATGCTCATAAGAATAAAAGTTAATCAATGTCTAGGAATGAATCAATAGATTGAAGCTGTCTGATACTTTCACAAATGTTTATTCAACTGTTTATTTGCAGTATGGGAGATGGGACCTAAAATATTATGGATGGTAGCAAAATTCTCTACCACTGAACAAATTAGGTTCTATTTTGTTAATAGATTGTCTTTAGAGGAAAAAAATCCAAATAGCTAATGGAAGAAATAACAAGTAGCCATTTGTATAGTACTTAATAATCTGCTATCATGACCACATTTTACATATATCACCAAATTCTTAAGTCAATCTGTCCAAGCATGTGTTGGTTTCCTCCTAACATTAATTCCAAGAGGTTCTTGCAGACACCTAAACCCAAAGATGCCCACATAGAAAACTGGGGGTGGGGAGAGGAAGCTAGGAGAATGAGAAGGGGAAAAGAGGAGGGGTGAGGAGGACATGAGGGAGCAGGAAGGTTGTGTAGGGGGGAAGAATAGAGGAGAGCAAAATAAGAGATACTATAATAGAGGGAGACATTATAGGTTTAAAGAGAAATCAGGCACTAGGGAAATGTCCAGAGATCTACAAGGATGACACCACCTAACCAACAGAGGAGAGGCTACCTTAAATGCTCTCTCCTGATAATGAGATTGATGACTACCTTATATGCCACCCTAGAGCCTTCATCCAGCAGCTGATGGAAGTAGAAGCAGATACCCACAGCTAAACACTGAACTCTGGAATCCAGTTTTAGAGGAGGAGGAGTGATGAGCAAAGGGGTCAAGACCAGGCAGGCGAAACCCACAGAAACAGCTGACCTGAACAATGGGGAGCTCTTGGCCTCCAGACTGTTCACTGGGAAGTCAGCATGGAACTGATCCAGACCCCATGAATGTGGGTGTCAGTGAGGAGGCCTCAGAAATCTATGGGGCCTCTTGTAGTAGATCAGTACTTATCCCTAGCATAGGAATGGACTTTGGGAGCCCATTTTACATAGAGGGATACTCCCTCAGCCTAGGCATGGGGGAGGGCCTAGGCCCTATTGCAAAAGATATGACAGACTCTGAAGACTCCCCATGGAAGGCTTCACTCTCCCTGGGGCGCAGAAATGGATGGGAGAGGTAGGGTTTTAATAGGAGAGGGAGAGGGAACTGGGACTGGCATGTAAAACAATCTTGTTTTTAATTTAAATAAAAAGATGGAGGAAAAAAGAGAAAACTGTCATATTTACATACAATTTACTACAACCTTCACATATATCATCGAAAAATATCTAATATGTATTAAGTTTCATGTTTAAATGTTGCTAAATACATTAAGGACTGATAAAAAGCAAACATTCAGTATGGGTATAACATAATGTTTTTCACATATTTGTGACATATAGTTGAGTACACATTATACATAAATACTTCAGCTATGGAGGGCTACAGTAAATCTCCAAATGCAGTCCTTCAAACACAGCCCTGTAGTTAGATACGAACCCAGGGAAGAGTTAACCGTTTGTCTCGGGCTTCTTATTTCTGTGTATTTTTTTTATTTTTTTACTGAAATGAGTACCCTAGACACTGACTATCAATCTATTCTCTCATGTCTTTTATGGATTTCAAGCAGGCCGTAGTGTCGGTATAGCACTGCACTTTGCCCAAGTGTACTCTTAAAGCAAACAAACAAACAGAAGACAGTCCGAAAGCAAGTTCTGAGATTTTAATGCACAAAAAAATACAACAGCCCAGAAACGTAACAAGCATCGACTTATTAACAATGAAGTATGATATCAAGGAGACCCATGTCCACTCAGTAAATAGGAATACAGTGTGGCTATACATGAAGGGAAGGACACACTTCAGGATTAAGTGCAAGCCCTAAAGTTGAATACAACATTCATATATGGCTTATCTTGTATCGATATTTTCATAATGAAGCTTATGACATCTATACATATCAGCAAGATGTTTCTGACTCAAAAAAAAAAATACTGAAGAGGTAGTTTTACCAATGCAAGGTGGGGAAAAGGCTTTACCTTGCTTTGGCGGTTTCCTCATAAAGCTACAACAACGACTTTTGTTCTAAGTTTCTCCTGGATCAGCCAGGAAGCTAATGCATTTGGAGCCTGCCAATTCCTAAATCAAAGGACTGATTGACCCAGAGATGTTTTGGAAATCATGGCCGTGTGTTGTCTGCTGGGAAGCCTCTATCAAGTTCTTTGTTGTAGGGGTAGGGGATTCTGGGTCAAGAGAGAAATGAATGATGGGACTCTTGATGAGTGAAGCCCTCCTATTTTCTCATTCATGCTCTGGGTGGCTTCATGCTAGCAGCTTACCCAGTGGCCCAAGAATTTTTCCAGGTAACCTAAATGAAGCTGGGAATTGTGTAATAAATACAAATAACTGCACACAAGTCCTCTTGTTTTTGGCTGTGTTTCCTAAGTCATCACTCTATGGACTCAGAAGGAGTTTGCTTTCTTATGG